AACCTTTTTGCGTTTAGGTGCGCCACGTCTCCTGCAATCAATCGCCAAGGACGACGTGATACCTGTCTTAAAGCCATTTGCGAAAGTTACAAAGAAGAATGAACCGTTCAAAGGGTATCATTCGTTTTTAACAAAGTTTTTATATTTTAAGCGAGTGCAAAAACACGTACTGTAAAGAGGTTTTCGGTGTGTGTGTGTGTGTGTGTGTGTGTATGAGTGTGTGCATGTATGTATGTGCGTGTGTGTGTGTGTGTGTGTGTGTGGACTTTGTCTCCCGCTTTCAACTCCGGAAACTGGGAAGTTAGAAATCTGAAATTTTGCAATTTTTTCTCAACAGATGTATTATCCTTGCTACCTGAGATTACCGCTCATTTAGGCTCGGATTTTACGTACGGACACCGAAAAAAACATGCAAATTTTTGGGCGCGAAAACAACTTCAGTAGCCGACAAACGTAGGAAGCTGGCACTTTGCAGGGGCATTCTTTGTTCATGTATGAGCCAAGACTTCAAATTCTGCTACCGCGCACGCATACATCGAAAGCTAGCTGGAAAATAATGGCTGTAATTCTGCTACAATATTCATCGTTCTTCTGGGAAGTCTTGTACCTGAATCTCGTGCAAGCCTTACGGCACGTCAAAGATATTTACAACGAAGAAACGATTTCGCTTGCCGGGCAAGCTCAGAGGCTAATACTTTGCAAGGATATTCTTTATTAAAGTAAGGTCTAAATTTGGCTTGGAGACTAAATTTTTTTCCCACACTGACATGAAAAACACTCAGTTTTATAGCAGCTTCAGAAGCGAGTGCATTTTGCTGAAAATTTTGTAAGCCTTTTCACCCAAGATCCTGCCCATTGTCAAATTTACATTTTTCTATAAGGGCCGGTCGGCGGAAACTATCCAATTCTCTTTATGTAAAACTGATGATCATGAATGCTGTAGCTTCACGTGACTCCCATGAAGCAAAATTATCACTGCAGCTGACACCCTTTTTACCTAGTAAGAAAGAAAAGGTCAAAACACAGCCAGCATGAATACGTAAGAACCAGTCATGGTTTGTCTGCTTTAAGTTTAGTGCAAAAACGCGTGACTGCACCAACAAACCTAATGCGTCGTTGAGTGAGTTATGCGTATTTGTATATTTATGCAAATGCAGAAATGCATATTGATGAGAGGTTAAGGGTTTTTATGCGTTTTTCCTGTGCTACAGCGCTGCTACAGCCAGCAAAAACGCATACGCATATTGCGCTATAGCGCTGCTACAGCCAGCAAAAACGCATATTGTCGAGTGGCAGTCTGTGTGTGCATGTGTGTTCGGAAAGCGAGTGCGTTTTGTCACCCACTTTCAACTCGGCAACCAGGAAAGCTGGGAGGCTGAAATTTCGGATATATGTTCCTACCCCGTGTGTCATCCTCCCGTTCTAAGGCCTTCCTCCATACGCGCCTAAACCCCGCGCACGAGACCCCCAAAGGTATTTGTTGGCGGGAAACGATTTCGCAAACCAGACAACGTAGAAGGCTGAAACT